CCCCCAAACGGGGCCGGGCCCCGGGCTTCCCCCCCCGCCACAGCAGCCTGCAGCGACGGCCCTCACCGCAGAAAGGCTGTCGGCGGGGCAGGTGTGAGGGCCGGGGGGAGCCTTGGTGCTGCTTGCCTAACGCGGCCTGTAACACCAGCCCGTTTGGTCTTCAGCTGCTCGCCCACCTGTGAGGCAAACTTCTCTCCCAAACATAGTGCAGAACCCCAAGGTACTCGCTTTACCGACACCGTGGCGGTCTTCTCCGTCATCGCGGCGTTCCCTCTGGCTAACGAGAGCTGTTCTGCTGGGCCGGGGCCGCCGCTGGGGGGTGAGCGGGACGCTCGCCAGCACGTTCTCCGAGCTACCGGGACCCCAGCGGACGCAAACCTAGAGTGTAAAGGATACCTGCAGTCAGGTTACAGAACCCGATCCCTTTCTCATGGGGAAACAACGTTACGTAGCTCCAACGCTCAACACCACACTGCCAAAGTAAAACGGAGTGTCAGCAGAAGCTCAGGGAAGGCTTTCCCCACCTTCCAGCTGCAAGAACCGGGTTCAGGGAAGTTCCTAGAATCCATCCGAACATTCTGCAGAGGGCAGCTCGCACGTGCGACCTAGCAGCAAATCTTTTGACTTGCAGTCTCAATACCAAGAAGCACATTTCGGCTTTGCCTGTATGTCCATCCGTTAGGCAAACAGCTTGCGGCTCACAACAGGAAAACGTGGAAGTGAAACAAATGCTGCTGAAGGCAGGCTGGCACCGTTTGCTAACTCGCATTGTGCTCAAATTATCAACCCAGCATTGATGCGATCTGAGGAAGAACAAGATAAAAGCCAATGAAAGCGCCACCAAGTTCCGTTTCCTAGGACAAAGTGTGATGTTATAACACAAAGTACTGTTGTACACTACCTTCTCAGAGGAGTTAAAAGATGGCATTTCGGTCGCCTTTAGAAATTAAAGTCTTACTTTAAATTATTCCACGGATATCCATGTAGGTGTTTTGTACTATCACCAAAGGAACAACAGCGGCAATTTTTCTCTCTTTCACTAAATTAGAACACTGTGACGCACGCAGCGTTTTACACACATAAACCGCTACTACAAATAACTGTTTACCACTTGAAGAAATGATGAGAGGTTAGCATGGACGATGCCAAACTCCAGGCTGGCATCAAGACGGAGCCTAGTGGAAGTTCGTGCTTTCCCATGGCTGTCGCTCCTTCCTTTGGCAGGGCTTAGTGCAACGGGTGAAACGTTCCCCAGAAATTTCAAACGCCTCGTTATTGAGGCATACCAGTAATTTTCCCAAGCCGTGGCTGAATCAGATGGCTGACCAGCTGCCACACAGAATGCCCAGGGAGGTCCCAGTCCTCCCAAAACAGCCCCGTCGTGCCAGGAAGTCCCTTAAGGAAGGGCACTTTGGGTAAGAGCAAAGGCCAGTCCTAGCCAGTGCCTACCTCTGCAGTGCCCGGCAGCAGGCGCTTGGGAAGACAAAAGCAGCACCGTGTCTGCGGATCCTCCCAGCTTCCGGCAATCTGGGGCTCGGCAGCTTCCTGAGCCAGAAGTTTTATCTTGATGGTTTTCTCTTCCATGAATTTTTCGTGTTGCTTTTTGAACGCATCTCAACTCTCGGCATTAAAGGGCATCCTGTGACAGCGAGTTTTACAGTGCCTTACGCGCTCGGTGAGAATGTACTCGCGTTACTTTTGAAACCCGTTATGAAGCTGGTTATGAAACGGCAGTATGCAGGACCAGCGAGCAGCAGAACTGGAGCTACCCGGGGCACGTACCTGAGAAATGCCGCGTTGCAGAGGCCTCCAGAGAATGCGTGCCCACAAAAGGCGTACTGCCTATTTGTTACTTCTCGCACTGATATTAGCAGAGGTGCAAACAAAAGAAATCGTACTGAAGAACACTCTTCCTCCTAAATCGTTAAATAGTCCAGAAATGTTAATGCAGTGAATGGCAGTCTGACTGTGAACCACTCATTGCCGTAATTATTATTTCTGAAAGAATTTTGGTTTATCCCTCCCTTGGAAGCTCAAATGCCTTTCTTAAAAGTTCCTGATACATCTAGGGCTACATCATCAAAAGTACAATTAGTGTCCTTCCTTGAATCCAAATCTTAACTTTGTGTGGAGTCACGCCTTAGCAAGTTAGAAATACCTCCTCCATTCAGCAAAAGACTTTATGTATCTTTTGTTCTGCTCCTCAACAGAAAAAATGGTATGATACTGATTAGAATAAAATAAATACCACCCTATAACTGAAAACTAAATGGAGTTCTGATAGATAAAACAAACCCATGTTCCTTGGCATTATTTCTGTTGCATTAAAAAAACCAGAAGATATGCTGCTTAGACAAAATAAAACTGTCTCCTTTCAGTTATGAGGTCCCTTTCAACTTGATTTTCTTTCGGTTGAGTCTGTTCCTCACATAGCTGAGTGTGTGGAATTTGAGCCTAAAATTATGCGATTGCTGTAACGGCTGCGCTGTAAGAGCAATTCATGGGGACCCTGGCCCACTGCTGTAAGGCGCTGGGCACCCAATATCCCCTGGAGACAAAATTACTCAAGTCCTGATTAAACAACTTAAGCGTATGCATAAATCCTTTTCATTTCCATATAATTTGAGTTTGGTTTGATTCAGAATATTTGTGTTTGCTTTGCTAAGTTACAGTACATGGCTCCAGGGCCAAACCTTTTAGAAATCCCTGTGTAAGAGCTGCACACTGTGGGTGACATCCTCTTTTAAAGGATTACCAGAGAAAGAAGTGCTTCCAACATAACTGGTGTGAATGTCGGATACCATCATTTAGATATTCCCCGGGCAAAGTTTTAGCATTTGGGTGTGGTGACAGACAGAAATTTAAGGGCGAACTTCCCATTCTCTGTTAGCATTTAGTAAACTGGTGGGTTGATGTACTCTTCTGTGTGGCGCTTTATCTGTGGAATCACCACTGGGGTGAACCACTCTGACGTCTCAAAGTTTCCGTGTTTTCGCAGACATGTTGCCCCGGGAATCGGGAACGCCAGGCCCGCGGAGAGCTGCTCTCACTGCTGCGCCCTTCTCAAGCGTGCAGCTCAGAGCTGGAGCCCTGGGAGCGTACGAACAGGAAGGCAGTATCTGTGGATGCAGCAGGCTTTGTTGACACAAGCTGCTTTACAAGTTATTTAGTAATCCGTAAGAAAAACTGCAAAAGATAAGTATTTTCCCTTGCTGCAAAAAAAAAAAAACAAACACATTTTTCGTGACACACCACAGGAAATGAAGATTATGTTTGAATAATAGCAGTCTCAGAGGAATAGAAATGTTTCTTTTGCATTTACAAGCACGCACGAGACCACCTTTTCAAGATGGCAATGAAGAAGCAGTAAGAAGAACCTAAAAATTTTCTCTGGAATAAGAGACCTTTTGCATCTTTTCACCAGTAGCGGCCATCCTTTCCTCTTACTGGAAACCACTTTTAAGAAGGGAATCAGGATTGACAAAACAGATGTGTGCTATTCCCAAAGACTGGGCTTGTCTCAGACGTATCTCGTTAAGAATAGGGACAGCACTGCTGAGAATTGATCGCTCTCATCGTCAGAGGAGTTGTCCCGAACCTCTCGTGTTCTCAAGAACGCAAATTTCCTGTGACACTAGATAAATATAGTAGGTTTCCCATCGCTAGCCCTGAACAGTTTTCAGTAACTTCGTGGTCGTGTCTTCACTAATTACTTTCAACATCTGCAATGTATATTTAAAACAATGGCATTTGTCCTTGCTGACGCTGTTCTTTACAAAATGACATCTGATGTGATTTCCCAACAATGACATGGGAAAGAGATCTACTAGGCTCCTGGTACACCACAATCTGTGGAAGGAGGCTAACTTCGGAAGAGGACAAAATTAAACTAGGATTCTCCTGATAGGAAACATGACACAGACCGGACCCTTGGGCATGAAACAATGTATATTTCCTACAGCTTTCCCCCCGCCTGTCCAGGCCTTAATACATTCTCAAGAGCTGTCCATAGCATTAAGAGAAGCACTGGACGTGACAGGGCCTAAGCGTACATTCGGTGTGATCTCTTGGCGAGTGGGATGGTCAGGCTGTTCAGATGCTCGTCGACAGCCGGGGCATTCGAAGCTTTGGGAAAGGGCCATCGTTCACCGCATTAACTGCCCTGAAACGCCGTTAGCACAGGGTTATGGCTGTCCGGTGACGCTGCAGTATCCGCTCGAAAGCCACATTCAGAAAACGAGGTGCTGAGGAGTTAGGTGCGGAGCAGCTCACCAGCGCAGCCCGGCTGGTCCTGACGGCGGTGACTGGATATGTTCCCATCAGGGGGGTGCTTTAGTAAGACATGGAGAGGGGAAGATCAATTCCAACCAAGGGGAAGTTTCGAACGCTGATCCAGAGGTCGGTGTGGCGAGGAATTCGAGCAGGGAGGTGTGGAACTCAGTTCTGTTGACAGTCTAGCACAGTTAATTTCCCCATTATGTGAGGAAAGCTGTCTCGGCATTACCCCC